TTCCCTACTATTGTCTTTAATTCTTTGTTTTAATGAAGCTAAATAATTTTATTTCTCTTTTGTTCTTCCTTATTTGTCAGTAACCTCAGAATATTACACAACAAATATTCATTTGTTTGCTAGGAAGAGCCAGAAGGCTATTTTGCAAATACCACAAAAATAGAATGCGTTTCTCTCTTTGTAAGGCAACAGTGGGCACATCTACACATGCTACTAATGCTATGCTATAAAGGCTTAGTGCACAGTAAACCTTCCCTGGGAGCATGTCTACACAGGCTGCTCCTATCCTGCTCTAGCCCCTGCAGGTACCAGGGGAAGCTCCAGGTTTCTCCAACATGTTAGCCATGGGGCTGGTAGGGAGCACGGGGCCAGTTCCCATGCACAAGGGGCCAAGAAAGATCTGCCAGTTGTAGCAACAGCTGTTTCCTTGCCCCATACACATGGAGAGGGGTCCTGATGTGTATGCGGCCAGGAGACAGCTGCCACTGCAGAGCACTCCCAGCCCGGTGCACACAGGGACAAGCACTGTGCCCAGAGGGGCTTACCTGTGCAGCCTGGGGCTGGCCAAGAGCTGTCCTGCTTCTGGGGCAACTACCAGCCAGCTCTGGGCTGGGTCAGGATTTCCCTAAGCAGCCTGAGGCTGCCCAGGAACTGGTCTCTTCTGGAAGTCCCGACCCGACCCGGCCCGGGGCTGGCTGGGAGATGCCCCAGAAGCACAACAACTCTTGGGACAGTTCTCAGCCAGCTGAGCTGCTTGGGGAAATCTCTGCCCAGCCCAGAGCTGGCTGGGAGCTACCCCAAAAGGGACAGTTCCCAGCCAGCCCCAGATTGTGCAAGGAAGCAGGGAGCTCCAGGGAGTCCTGGTGCTGCTTGGCTTTTGGCTCCTGTGGGAAGTGAGGACCTGAGAGGCACTGGAATGGGGGACGGGGAGTGGGGGCACAGAGAACAACCCCATCTGGGCGCTGCACTGCTCCCAGCTTCTAGGAGGAGCCCAGAGTCGAGTACTGCCAGGACTGGGGGAATACCCCTTCCCATGTGGCCCCTAGTGTTGGAGCTGACGGGAAGCAAATTTGCTCCCGGTCGTCTACACATGCACTACTGCACAGTTAGTTTACTATCTGTATTGGCAGGTAGTTAGTTGATAACTGCACAGTCAACTAAATTTACTGCACAGTCAATGCTGCACACATGTAGACACCGATGCGTTACTGCGCAATAAAGTATCTCGTGTAAACACACCCAGTGAGTAGTGAAGTTTAATGCTCTTTAATGCTTAAAAATCAAAAGGATTTCATATTGTGTTTTAGTACAGGACACATTTCCAATCTTAAAATATGTGGCAGTTTTCTTTTGACATAAGAAATCTTATGTCTCAATTTATTACTGCAAGTTACTCGTTCCCAAAAAGATACATTGAGTACTTACTCCATGATTAGAGGCTCATCATGAAATGTTTTATTTAATATAGTTTTATGGTTAAGATCTGAAAAGAGAAAACATTCAGTTAAGTTACAAATATGTCATAACATTTAAATACCTATTTATTATCAAATGGCGTCTTATTAATTCAATGTTTCTATGCCACTTTATGCATTAAAGCCACAGCCAGCCTTCTACCCATGGAGTTCTGACTGCTTGGACCTCCATATAAATTCAAACTGCCAAACCAAAGGTAATTCACATTCAAACTCTGAAGCTTCCTTCCCTTTAGCCACTGAAGGCTCAAACTGTTGAAAGTTATACCTACCATATAATCCAGTTCTATTTATATGATCCATCTTGGTACTTATTATTGTAATGCAGATTGAATATTGTGAAGATGGGAAGAAATCTTCTCTCAAGATTACCTGAACTTGTCAAGACAAACGGGCTCTTCAGATACAAGACCATAAAGCATGTACCTGAAAAATGCTGTTTAGTGTATTGTACAAAAGAAGAATCTATAAATAGCGTTTTTCACCGTTTGTAGTGGCTATTCAGAAATAAACAAACAACTGGAAAAGGATCCTTTGAAAAGGAAAAGGGGTCGTCTATTCTAATTGTCAGCTAGTTTGCATATCATTTAATTATATGAGGAATAAAATTTAGATTGCTGCACAGTGTATTTTGACAAGAGTAAATCAACCTTTTCCTTCCTCAAGAAGAACTATAAAAATTCCACTCAACTTATAAACAGAACTGAGCTAATACAATAATTGCATGGCGATACCCTTTTTTTTGGTTAACCAATGCAGGAACCACCCCCAAAACTATTCATGTATAATATAGTCATACTTGGTGGCATATCTGCCTTTCCTAAAACTGAACATGAAAATGTGATTTCAGCTTATAATTAGAATATGGGGTTACTATTTAGAGAGTTTTGAACATGGGAATCCAGCACTACTTTCCCTGTGCTCCAATTATTCTGGGCACATATTGAAGTGGGGTTTACTCTCATCTCCCCATGCCCAGTTCCTTTCACACCTCATTTCCATTCCCTCTGCTTTTCTATATAACCTTCACATCGTCTGTGCAATACCTGTCTTTCTATAGTCTATCTTCTTGTGTAGATGCACTTTACCTCCCTTTCTATTCCCTCTCCCCCAAATCCCATTCTATACCTACAACTCTTCAGCTGTTGGCAACCTTCTGACAAGGCCCCGCATCCTTCCATCTCAGTTGAAGTCCCTTTATTCAAAGACTACAGAGCTAGTAGTCAACCCTTCAACCCTGTCAACCCTTCATTTTTTTTCTAGTTCTCTGGCTGTCATATACACTCCTCACATTTACTCGAATACATTTCCTTTGCTTTGTTTACCCACATCTGACTCAGCCCAGCAGCATCAGTATTTAGTATTGATATTACTGTGCATTATATAAACGTTTATCATCGTGATTGTTTAAACACTGCCTTTTGGCCCCTCCCAAGACACTCCCTCTAAAAGGTACTTCCCAGCAAGGCAAATAAACAAGAATAACTTGAACAGGGAAACTAAGTTTCTCTCAAGTGTAATTAGTCCCAACACATTATGTTGTTATTATTGACAAAAGCAAAGCGAAGTAAAATTTCAAAACATTATATGCTTTATTAATCAAATTCCTAAATAACTCCAACCTGAAATTATATTATTTTTGACAATGTGCAAGAAGATGGTATGAAACTCGAAAACAGAAAAAAATGACACCTCAATGAGTTTGCTCCAACCTCAGTTGTTGTTTAAATATTAGCACTTCATAAGGGATATCGATTTGTCCAAAAAAACCCTGAATTTTTGCTCCCCTACTAAATGTAATTTTACTACCTAATTTAATAAAGATGTGAAATTCTAGACCTGTTACAAATGCTAAATCTTATTACTTCACTTGTAGAAACAATGGTTATACTGTCTAAAGGGTTACAACTTACAAACCATTGATTGAAAAAGTAAAACAACTTACCTAGTGTTTGATTATGTCCCCAGAAAATAAACACTGATAATTCATCAGTGCCACGATTTTGGGGCCGAGTTGTCAGGAGAACATCCATTTGTGAATCGCCATCATAATCTCCAGGAACCACACTTGTTATTACAACTTCATAACCTCTAAAATTATAAAATTACAAATTTAATTGTACGAACAGAATCTGAGAATCCCTGAAAAGTAGTCTTAATATATACATTAATAATTTGTTGCATTTTGGTTGGGATTTTTTTTTCTTCTCTTTTTTGTTGTTGTTGTTGCAACAAACAACACTACATGGACATATTGTGCAACATTCTTGCTCTGAGGTAGAATGAAGGGTTTTAGCTCTGAGAATGACTCTGTACCAAGGGGCTTTTTCACACTCCCCCCTCCATTGCACAATCTTACTAGCTACCTTCCCAACTCCTAGGGATGCAAAAGGTTAAATGATTAACTGGTAAGGTCACCTATTATCACTGGGCTTATTGGTTAAAAATTTAGAGCAGGGCTGGACACAGTCTGGCAGGGAAGGGAAGCTATGCAGTGCCCTAGCAGGA